GAGGTAAGCTGTTTGTAAAGTAGCCTTGATAGGAAAATTTTCACAAGATCAATATTTAGAATCGGATGGTAAGTCTGGATTTTTAGTAATCCTCACTTGATAACTCCCCACTTAATAACATGTTTCCAAATTTTATTTCTTCCATTTGTAAATCACCTCATTCGATAAGTGATATTTAATGATATTAAATTTGCCTTCTAGTTGGAAATTTCTGGCTTTCTGCAATAGTAAACGTTCTAGTGACACTATTAATTTTATTTCCAGTGGGCTTCCAGTAACATCACTGGTGATATTAATGTGTTTTCAGGAAGTTAAATAAAATACAAATACATAACTTGGATATTTTTACTATAATATGGAATTTGGCTAATTCATAAAGTTGGAACTCGCAAGTAACAAGCACTGATTCAAAAATAATTGATGTGTCAAGGCAGTAGGGTTTGGGGCACAAGGGCATAGGCATGCCTATGGGCATACCAAAAAGCAAAAGGCATGCCCAAATCACATGATATAGGCTAGCAAAATCATTGATTAAAATCAAATAGCAATACTAATTTTTAAAATAAGTCATTTAAATTCATAAATATTAAATATTTCTTTTTTTTAGGAGAATACTTATTATTGTAAGTATAATTCATAAATATTTACTTTAATTTCATTTTGTATTTTATTTTTGGTTTATAAATATGAGGATAAATATGAGGAAATAGTTATTAATATAAGTGTTGAAAAGAAAGAAAGAAATAAATAAATAAATAAATAACTAATAAAAATTGTAAAGTACAAAAGAAAATTTAGAAATAAATAATAAATTGAAAATAAAAAAAAAATAAAAGAAAATAAAAAAATTAAAAAATAAAATTAAAAAATAAAAAATAAATAAATAAATATGTATTGCCAAATACCTTGTATATAAAAAGGTAGTCGAATCTTTAGTAAAAATTTTACAAATCCTTACATTATATTAAAAGTTTATTTTATATCAAGTAAATTTCTTATAGACTGGTTTTGGCTTGACTTTTGAGAGTTTAATTAGTCTTTTTTATATTGAATGTTTCTTATATCAAGAATCACTTGTATTTATTCAATAGCATCCGAATCCCGAATGTTCTTTAATATTAATATGTTATAAAAAACAATTACCGTAAAGTATTGAAAATAAGCACAGCACCCTCTACCCTACCTTTTTCAATCTTAGATTAACGGAGATAACTTGATTAAAGATCTTATTGCAGTTCCGCTAATCTGAAACTGGAAAAAGTATGCTGTGTTTATTTTCAACACTTTACGGTAATTTTATTTGTATAGCCTTATATCATGCATAGTAAATAAAAGTTTCTTATTTTTAGTAATAATTTTGAACGATTTTGATTGGTTAATATTTAATCATGTGACTATATGAGGCATGCCTTAAAGGCATGCCTCAAGCCAAGGTATCCCTACCGAGACATGCCTATTTTTTTACCCATGTCTCCAACCCTACAAGGCAATGTTGTCAACTGGACTATACTGGACATATTCCTGTACTGCGCCACTGGACTACTGGATATAGTAATTTAATAAGTCCAATACAGTCTAGTCCAGTAACTTATAGACACTGGACATAGTAAAGTGACAACGCTGTGTCGAGGTTTTCTAACAAAATTACCATAGGTTTCATGGCATTTTTTACATTCATTTTTCGGACAACTTCTGAATTAATAACCATGACTTTTGCACTTGCATCACATTTTTCGTTCCATCCTTTTTCAGTCCACCGCAATATGACCCAGTTTATAACATTTTTTACATTTTTTGCATTTTTTTTCTGGACAGTTTCTGAAATAATGATCATGCTTTTTATATTTTTTCATATACAGTATTTGGTTTATAATAACTCATTATTTTAAATTAGAGAAAGCTCTTTTCAAAAGAGAAATAGTAAACTGATATTTCACATTTCAATCATATTTATAAACTTAAGTAAACTGATTGACTATATCGATATGTATTATTTTAACTATTGAATAGTTACGTGAATAATAGTAATTTCATACTTTTTCAGTACTATTTGCTTGCAACACAATTTTTTATACTATAATACCTAATCGTGATGCAATCAAAAAACTAAATACTATTATATGAAAGCTAAAGCCACATGTCATAGTATTTCAGCATCGGTGGATGCTGAAATAAGTCACATGTTTAGGTAAGTATCGATATTAATAGCCTTATTCTTTTCTACTAAATGTTTGGCATGTTATAAAAATATTCTTTTAATCATGATGTTCAAAAAGTCAAACATTATTTTTAGAGCTTTAATAAATAAAGAATTTTTTACTATATTATCCCATAAATGTTTTGAAATAATGAAAATGAATTTTTCAAAGAATCATCTGAATCAATATTATAGATTAATTTAAAAGAGAAAAGAATCACTATGTAAAAGTAAGTACAAGAAACTTTATTAATCAATGTATTAAAAAATAACCTATTACGTTATCATTAAAAATAAGATCATATGATATTATAATATTCTAGAACCAACGTTGCCTTGAAATCTCTCAAAAGTTATGGTTACCAAATGACGCATTAAAAGAAAATATCAATTCAAATTTGTGGTTT